GACACACCTGGTATGACCTCGTTAACTGATAACAAAACAAAAACCCTATTTCCAAACAAGGTCACATTCACAGGTACAGGGGTTAGTAGTTTGACATAACTTTTTGAGGGACACAATTCAGTCCATAACAGAGAGCATCATTTTTCAGTTTTCAATGCAAGTGAAATAAATTTAGCTCTAATAAAGGACTTGGAAATATTTTATGGGGAAAAGAAGACAATTTTTAGCAAAATCTGGAAAGTATCTGACAGGTTTTCTTGGAAAGGTCAAGTAAATATGACAGCGTTTGCTATACACTTAACTTCTAACAATCACTTCACTAAAGACAGCTTTTTGGTGTGATACAAAGTGCTAAATCACCAGCTTGACGGGATTTACAGTTACATATGATTGTTTTTAGAATCATGTGAAGAGTTGGAAATTTAATTGCAGAATACTGACCTCAAATTGCTGAGACGTGTGATACCATTTGACCTTGTATATCCCACCAGTGAATATGCAAATAGAACTTGACATATTATATACAAGTCAGTTTTTATATATGAGTTTGCTTTTTGAGAACTGTAAAGCAACTTTTTACAAAATATTAATGAGGTTATCACATCAAATTCAGACAACTAATATTGAGACTCTGTTGTAGTTGCTAACAGGAAACAAACTTACTTGATTGTGGGGGGGTGGTCATTTAGTGTTGAGTAAACACCCTTCAGGTATCTGTCTGTTATGCAGTATAATAAGTAGTGTTCAATATGACTGGAAATCGTTGATGGAAGTCAAAGTATGTTCAGGATATTCTGTTTAAGAAGACAAATAGGAAGTGTCTGGTTAAACCATGTGGATTTAATGAGTGTATTTATCTCTATTCCTTCCTAATAACCCGCTTAAATACCAGTTAAGGAACAAAAATGGATATAAGCTCACAGGATGAAGAGAGACAACAGATGAAAGGTGCCAATAAAATTTCAGAAGACGGAAGGCAGATGGATGAGGGTAGCTGCCTTGGGCTTGAGCATTTCCTGCTCTGCTAAGTTCCATTGGAGGAATCCAAGAAGAAACAAGCCAATTCATGTCACTTTAACTTGGAAAGCCTAGGAATTGAAGGTACCTGGAAACAGAAAGATTGGTTGAAAGACTTATGGAGATTAGTTAAACCCCTGATCCACTCCCTATCTAATATAGCCAGGTGCTCATCCCTTCCCTACTCTGGTAAAACAGATCAGTTTATGGAGAGAAATAGAAAAGAGGGAATTATCAGAGAAACAATAAAAGGTAGCTTCCCAGAACTGAAGTACATGAAGTTCTTTTTTTTTTTGACTAAAAAATGCCACAGAGTACCCAGTCCAATGAGTCAACAAAAACTCCTACGAAGGCACATCATGGAATTTCATGAAAATGGGGACAACAGAATTTTCTAAGTCTTTTAGAAAGGAAATAACAACAACAACAAGTGGATTTTATAGAAAATATCTAATGTTAGAATAACATCGTATCCTTCAACAGCAATATTAGAGGCTAGAAGACTGTGCACAATGCCTTTAAAATGCTAAAAGTAAATAATTTCCAATCTAGAATTCTCTACCCACCAAATTATCAATCTAGTGTGTGGATTAAGAAAAGATACTTTCATACACCCATGTTCTCACCAAATTTATCTGTTATGAACACTTTTTCAAGAAAGTACCAGAGGACATATGCCTCGAAAAGGGGAGGAGGAGACAATGAATGGGGAAGACATGGGATCTAGGATCCAATATAGAAAGGAGGCAAAGGGAGGTCTGAGTATTATGTTAGAGAGACGTCCTGAATGGCAGCTGTGCATCAGATCTAGAAAGCAGCAAGACTGGACTGAAGCAGGAGATTGGAGGGAAACAAGAGGGCTGTCTCCAGGAACAAAGTGGATATGATAAATAACCTGATATGTTTGAACATATTGAGAGGAGTTTTAGAGGACTCTCAGGTAATAAGCAGATGAAAACGGGGACAATAAAATAGGGGACAAGCCATGGTGTTTTCAGT